TTTTTGTCAAATTTTTATGATATCTTCAAACATATATTTTATTCAAAAATAAAAACATCATCGTTTTCTCAAAATTACATAAAGCCATATTATAATATCAACTGAGATAAATAATAAACTAAAATATTAAAATCACGATGTATCTCGCTGCATTGCGCGAGTACGCTTCTAGTAATATTTTATAAAGATAATAATTAAGTATTCTATTAGAACTCAATGATTATCTTAATTATATTTTAGATTTTTTATATTTAAAATAAGACGTTTATCATGTATTTGATTATGTTTATCTGTAGTTAATTATACGAATTTAGATATGGAGCTTTATTAAGTTGTACTTAGGCATAATCTACTTGTAATCTTGAATTTTAAGTAATATGCATTAATAAATAGTATTTTACACATAAAAAATAAGTTTTAAAAGTTTTTGTCAAATGCTTTATAATATAGTATAGATAATATAGATATACATATTTCGGGTTTTCGGACTAATCGGATGGTGAATAAATCATACCCAACTCGAATCCAAAAATTGGATTTCAGATTTGAAAGCATTTCGATGTTTACACAAACACCTTGTTAAACATAAACATAATTTTGAGACGACCAATTTCATGTGATTCAATCTGATCCTCTTTCATTTGGAAACGATTTTCATATTTTCATATGTTTGCGTGTTAAAACAAACGTAGAATTTTCTTCGGAAAAGGTTGAACTTTTCTTGAAGATGACGAAAAAAGAAGCGAAACAGCACATGATTTACCAAAAAGATAACAACTTTTACAAATCGGATTTGTAGATCATCACTTTCTCTAAGACGTTGGACATCTGTCAAACGCAGGCGTTTCATCGTTCAAAGTTTTTCCCATTTCATCATCATCATCATCGCCATCGCCATCGCCATCGCCATCGCCATTGCCATTGCCATTGCTTTTGTCACGTTTTCTTGGATTTATTTCGATTTTCAAGCAAACTGGATTAAACCCACAAGAAATCCCATTTAACCATTGAATCATTGGAGCAAATTTGAGATCCTCTTCGTCTTTGGTCAATCCGGCATCGAGGATTAATTAATGGGTTGTATTGTAAACAAGACTGCTGATGCCAAAGCCGACCGCCTTTCACGGTGGAGCGCCACCGGCATTGTAGGCTTACGCGACGCCAAACTGAAGGCAAATACTCTTTTCATTCTGATTTCCCTTTAGAAACTCCTGAATTGATGATGGAATTAGCTGAACTCCTTTGTGAGATATGGGTTTTTCCCCTTCATATTTATTATTGGAATGTGATCATTCAAACAGATAATCCATCCTGCAAATGGCCAAAAACATAGCTACTATGTGTTTCACTGTTACATTAGCAGATATGAATAGGGGTTTTAGCTATTTAAACATATGGAGTAGGAATGATTGTTTAAATTGTTAACCAAATTGGTCTTAGCCAAGACATTTAGGTTCAATTTGTGATACACCCCATCCCCGAGTTGGGTGGGATATACTGGGCTTGTTTGGTTCAACATCCAAGCTTTGTTTCCAAACTATGAGATTGGTTGTTTTTGTATCTATGCAAGTTTCAAGCCTAAATTAAGTGTCTTTTGATTCACAGTCATTTCCGGATGAAGTTCTTGAGCTTGATAGATCTGTGCGGACGCTTGATTTGACACACAACAAATTAGGTAGTTGTTTCTCTCTTTAAGAAGATCAAGCCTTGCTTGTTTCGAGGCCTTCAGTCTCGCTTGTCTTTTGCTTGCTATGATACAATTGTTTTCTATAGTAAGGGATTGTTTACTACCTGCTTATCACCTCTTACCCGATTAGAGATGTTGTTTACCGAGCCATGATGCTGACCTGGTAAGCAAATGGAGAGTTGAGAAAGGATCCTCAAAGTGGAGAATGTAGAATGGAAATAAATGGTGTACATGGATAAAATTAGTTTCTCTACTAAACTTACCATCTGTTAACACCATCTTCCTCTGTTTTCCATTTTGTGGGGGCCCTTTTCGTTTCTTCTGATATCAAGTAAGTAGGACTTACAATAACATCTTCACAAACTATTAACTAACGGACTCTTGGAATTTACGTGAACATACTTTAGGATCTCAAAGAAATTTGATTGCTTTTTCTCACCGACTTTATCTTTTTGCTACTGCAGCTGACATTCCAGAGGAGATCAGCAGATTAACAAACATGCAGAGGCTGGTAAGAACCACAAGTTTGCATTACCATTTCTATTCTTTGCTTTTCAACATATAAGAAATGAACTGTTTGGATATTAGTTCCTTAAATCGAGGGGTTGGTTACAACCTGCTAACCGCCTCTTATTGGGCAAGAGGTGCTTACCCGGTAAGTAGGGATGTCGTTTACCAACACACTCTGACTCACAATTATGTTGACCAAGATATTGGCCCAGTAAGGGGTCAGCTATCTGACTTGGTCAGTGCTTCAGCCATCGGTTACCCAGACCAAATCTCTTATTCAGACCATATTCTAACAAGGTTAGCGCTTACCCAATGTGTGTTGGTAAACGACCTATGAGTTGTATCTCTTTAGATAATGAGTTCTAAGGAGGTTTGTGTCCACAAGGGGACTACAAACTTGCTCTAATACGTATGAAAACCTCTTGTGATTTCATTCATTGCCATTTACCATAATATGTTCTAGATCGTTGTTTGGTCCGTGGCATCAAATTACTTGTGAGGTCCCTTTTCCTCTACTTGTAAGTAGTTCTTTTACTCATGCCATCAGAATGGCCACACAAGAATGCTCAACGGCCGATCTAAACGAGAATTTCAGAGAGGGCTGAAGGTTACAGCTTGTAAAGACTATGTCTAGTAAAAACTATTTGTGAGCTAGATTATACTAATGGGCCTTTACTAAACGCTTACCGGGTCACTTTACCTTATTGAATGAACATGATAAAGATTGAGAATCTTACCCGGTAAGAGTGATAACAAGGAACAAAAGTCTTACCCGGTAAGTGAGAATGAGGACTCTTACCTGGTAAGCGCCTACAAGATAAAAAGTTTCCATACAATGTCCTTTTAATGGACTAAAATCTTAACCGGTAAGTTAAGTGAAAGTGAGACTCACTAGTAAGAGCTTACCAGGTAAGGATTTGGTAAACGCCCCCTAAGTTTTCATAGTAATAGTTCAAGAATGTACTAATGCATTTAAGACTTTCTTCATTAATTAAGAAATTTTTGTAGTTGACACTTGACAGATAGAAAAGTTCATCTCTTTGGGGTTTTGTGGGATGTCTAGTGATTAATGACTATGATTTTGTGTTAATTTATAAAAAAAAATATCTAAAACGACGACATTTTGGTTTTCAGATTCTGGCTGATAACGTAATCGAGCGTCTTCCAAGCAATGTGGGCAAACTTCAGTCGTTGAAGTTTCTAATTCTCGATCAAAATAGAGTTACCATTTTGCCTGATGAAAGTAATGACACCAAATTGTAGTCCACTATGACCTCCATCCCATGAAAATTGCAACATTTTCATTTTCTATTATTCAAGTGTATTTTAGATATTTATGGATAAAAACCAGATCCAACGTACCCAGTATATCCCACACAGAGGTAGGGTCAACCGTAGGATTCAACTCAAGATTTATAGAGTATCTTGTACAAGTTCCAACCTTTTGGAGAAGCTCAAAAGGGCCGGTATTGCAGGGTCAAATGTTGCGATTTTCATGAGACAGAGAGTGTTTATTTGTCGTAAATTTCTTCTCTTGGGGCATTATGTTGATTTCTTGCAACTGTTGTTCAGTGGGTCAATTGGTGAGACTTGAGCGATTATCCATCTTGGGCAACCAGTTAACCGGTCTACCAGACACCATTGGAAGCTTGCGAAACGTAAGTGACTTCCTCTAGCAAACTTACGAGTGAAAATTTGAATCGTAAAACTCAATTGAGCTTCTGAAATTGCAGTTGTTGCTGTTGAATGTGTCGAAAAATCAATTGAAGTTTCTTCCAGAATCTATTGGGAGCTGCTTTTCGTTGGAAGAGCTACAAGCAAATGGTACCTCATAGTTCTTTAGTTCTTCTTGAAGCCATTTTTTGCTTCTTTTATTCTCAATTTATGGATGCTTTACCCTCTTACAAACAAACGATCGTTCTTGGGAAAATAAAAGAAACAACTACATTTTGAGGAAAAAGTGATTTTGAATCGCATTTACGTTTTTTACAGTTTCTCTAAACTCGACTGTTTTTGCGAACTATCATTTTTTTGGAATCTTGAGGGCCACGTCAGCTGGCAAATAAAGACTAGGTCTTGGGGCTCCTCCCATAGGTCGCTAGTTCAAGTCTCCTCAAGGCCATTGGGGCTGTTATCTTCAGCGTCCCATGGGATTAGTTGAGGTACGCTCAAACTGGCTTGGACACCCACTGTTACCAAAGAAAAGTTGTTTCTTTGGCGTTTTTACTAGAACGATGGCCAATTTGCACAGAAAGCCAAGTATGATGGTTAAGAAGTCGATCGTTATGCTTCTTTTATGTCGTTTGTGGGTCTGCAAAGCTTAACATTTCTCGCTGAATCTGCTTTGTGTTTCTTGATTTCGTGGTTTCCAGAAAATTCTATTGAAGAACTTCCTCCTTCAGTCTGCAATTTGATTCACCTGAAGTCGCTATCCTTGGATCATAACAAGGTGAAACAGGTACCTTTCATTTGCAAAATATTTACCATTCGCGTTCGGAAGACTAAGGGGCCGTTTACCAAACACTTACCCGGTAAGTGCTTACCGGGAAAAATTAACACTATCATTTACTTACCGAGTAAGATTTTAGTCCATCATAACGGCATTGTATGCAACAATTTACCCAGTAAGCACTTACCATGGTAAGAGTCGTTGCCCTCACTTACCGGGTAAGACTCTTGGTCCTTGTCTCGCTCTAACCGGGTAAGATTCTTGTTCCTTACCATATTCATCCGGTAATATAATGTGATTTGGTAATCCCTTACCCCGGGTAAGCGTTTGGTAAACGACTCCTAAGGTCCTATATGTTTTGCGAATTCATAAATGGGTTTGCGTAGAACTTGCTTCTAGAACCTTGCCCAATGGAGGAGGGAGCCCAACACACATGCACAACACATATGTAGTTGGGTTCAAACGAGAACAGTGATGAAATAGAAAAAAAAAATGAAGGGTAGTTTAGGAACATCAAATTTGTCTCGATATTGAATCTAAAAATTTGTTTGGGACGAACACCGTAAAAGTGCCAACTGTAATTCTACGAAATGAGTTTAATATGGGCACGGTTGCTCTACAGATACCACCAAGTTTATTGAAGTCTTGCAAGGCTCTACAGAATATTTCGTTGCATGGTAATCCCATATCAATGGATCAATTCCAAACGGTAATCTTCAATCTCTCCTTTTTTGAATCTCGATTTTCTTCAATTTTTGCCATGGAAGTCGATTTATCTTCATTGCAATGATTTTTCTCAGATGGAAGGATTTCAAGAATTTGAAGCTCGGAGGAAAAGGAAATTTGACAAACAGATAGATTCAAACGTGATGATCGGTTCTAAAGGCCTTGATGAGGGCGTTGATCTGTAAATTACCCTGCCATCCCATTTTACATACAGGTTTTACGCCATATCCTACGTTAATTTTAAGTTTTGTATCTTGAGGATGTCATCATAGCTCATACAGATAAGGCAAGCCCGTTGGTGAGCCAAATCATTAACAGGTTTGGCTATCACGAGTCAAGCCATGAGCGCTTGACCATCTAAGACGAGCTCAAGCCTCATATGGCTCTAGCTTGGCAAGACTAAGCATATCGAGCTCAACAAACCAATTAACGTATGTATGTTTTTTCAAGCTTGGCAAGCCATGAGCCGAACCTGGACCTACTAATTCTTTTAGGAGTTGAGCTTTGAGCCAAACAAGTTAAGGCGCTGCTTAGCCACCTCAAATGCACCCCTACTCGTAAGATTTAGGAGTTATTTAGGATAATAACCTTCTGACATATGTAAAATAAATGCACGACCTTCTGACAGATATTTAGGTATTCTTGTGGTAGGAAGATGCATTCTTCTGTTTAGCAGAGGCATTATTAAATCTGTTAAAATGTCATGCATTTTAAAAAATCCGTCCAAACTGTCCAAGATTCTCTCAAGATTGCTAATAGACAGTGTAATTTACCAAAAATGCATGGTTTTGGATGAGCCATGTAAATATAGATGCAAAAAATCTTCGTAATTGACATGTTGTTTGACTTCCATAACTAGCAGGATGTCGAGAGGACTTGAGGCTGCTTGCATGATCAACGATGATGGTTTATGGTTGTGGACATCCGCACGGCCTTCTTTGCAGCTCTGGTAACTCGTACATGATAAAACATACCGAATTACAAAGTTAAAGTTGTATTTATATCTGAAACAGACAAAGCCATATACTTGAGTGGCTACAGCCATTCCAATACTTTTGTATTTTCGGCGTCACTTTCTAAGTCATTATGTGGGCCCGCTTATACGGCCAATTTTCTTGGTGCCGTAGATGTTGGTATTGAAGTGGGCCCATGGATGACCAAGAAAGCTGGACAAGAAGAAAAGGATATGAAGTGAATACGATGTCGTAGGGTTGATTCATTCAAAGAGAATCTTTGTTACGATATAATGTCATGGAGCTCTCTTGGCACACCTGTTAAGTGTTCTGAGAGAGCGTCACCCTGTCCGAAGATTTAACTTACATTTCTATACTCTATAATGATAAAACAAAAAAGAACATGAATAAAAATCTTCTTGTGGCTACGGAGGTTCAAATGCGGTGACTCTGGACTATCTGCAAAGCAGGTGGTCGCCCTGTGATTAGTCAGCTCACATAACGGGTTGGATATCCAGGTTAATAAAAAAAAACAAAAAAGGAAAGAATCAAATACTTAAAAAGTGTATTTGGGTGCTTTGAAACCAAAGCCCTCAACTCTTTTTATCAACATGAAATACACCACTTATGTGGACATACTTTCAATTAAAATTTTCAATAAATCATAACTTTTAATGCAATAGTGATTTATACTCGATGTTTTATATACGTCGTACTTAAATATTTTATAATATAAATAAATATAGAAGGATGATTAAGCGAGAAGGTAGACAACTTACGAGAAGTGTGAAAAGGGTCAAATCAGATATGATTTTATAATAAATCACATGTGATTTATAACACGTCCAAAAGGACATGGACAACTGGTCAATGCAACCAAGGTTGTGTGAAAACTTTTGTGTAATGGCTGGTCGAGGCGACCCTTTTGATGTGTTGTAAATCACATGTAATTTGGACTTATACTTCTCATAAGTTAATCGTTTTCTCGTTTGAAATCACATCTCTCTCTCTCTCTCTATATATATATATATATATAGAGAGAGAGAGAGAGAGAGAGAAAGGTTCAATTGTAAAACGATTTTCGGTTGTGAACTGGGGACAAAAGAGAGCGCAACACGTGTCCTCAGCGTCTATATTCAGTATAAATAACGAAGGTGAAGTTCATGAACTATTCATGATGAATGATTGGTAGCAAAAGTATACACGTAAATGTAGCACAATAATGGTGCAAGTATACACCATTATTGAGTTCAGTTTCAAGTAATAAAGTGGTAAAAATACCGAGATCGTATTCACATGGATCAGACTTCAAAGTTTCGAGTAGTAAGTAGAGAATACAATGATTTCAATTAGAGAAGAAAATATATTTGAGTGAGTTTGGTGCTTTCAATAATGAAATCTAAATAAGTAACTAAAAATGGGTACGAGTGTAAGTTTCACTTAGGACAGTTGTAGTAATAAAATAGTTAGAAACTTTATGTCACAAAAACGTCTATAAAGATCCCGATCTCTTGAAAGTGAATCTCTATAGACCGTGTCCACGAAGTCACCCCTGTTGCCGATCTTACTCTTGCCGACTTAGCTAAATTGACTAAAAATATCAAGTTCGATTAGTATGAAGATTTATACCCAAATCCCTTTGTATTATAAATCTCAACCAAAGTTTGGACCCTAGCAAATAATATAAGACTCGTATCTCTACGTGATTATCAAATATTTTCTCAAATCCTTGTGCATCATTTAAGCCGTATTTCGTATCTACCGATCTATGAGTCTAAAATTTAATATTAATACTTCAAAGTAATCAGCTTATCTGCGTTGAGTTTAAGTCCCAACTCAAGTGACCAACGTGGAAGAAATGTTGGTTTTTTGCCCCCATGGATGAAAACATTTTTTAATCTTTTAGTACAAAATGTGTTTACTATTCATCCCATCCTCTAGAAATCTTCATATCTTTTGTCATCTCCAGATCTTTAAGAAATCTTCAAACCACTACTCCTAGTGACCAAATAATAGAAAAGCACGGTTTTGTCCATAAGAAGCTCGTTGTTGCCTACAGTAGGCACACAGTGGGCCCATTTGCAGTCCAATATTCAACCAAAAATGATACGTCTAATCATCAAAACACAAACTTTTATCCTCAACAGCTCCAAATAAGAATAAATAAATAAAAGGAAGAGACACGAACACATAAAGAGGAAACACAACTAAAACGGAAGAAAAACTCACACAAATGATGCGTAAATAACGCTCAGAATGAGAGTTATGAATGCTACAACATTCATGATGAATAATACAACATTCATGATGAATAGTACATGATTATGATCTATGTTAAATTGATTCATTATTCATGATGAATAAAACACATTTTATATTATTCATAATGAATAACCCCTGGACTCAGGAGACACGTGTCGAGCTCTCCTTTGTCCCCCGGTTCATAAACGAAACTCGATTCTCATTTGAACCCGCCCCTATATATATATATATATATATGTGTGTGTGTGTGTGTGTGTGTGTGTGCACGCGCGTGCAAGGGATCATGCGAGAAAATGAGTTAAAATAAGAAGCGTAAGAAGAAATTTGAATCTTTGATCACTTTTAATCTCATATCAACTCATGAAATGCGCTTTAGAAAGGGAATTGATTATGCACCTCACTAGTGTTGATATTCAATTAGGACTGATCTAAATGTGGAGATCTCTTCTTGCAATTCTCACTATAACTTCTTTTCTAATCGGAACCCAACTTATATATATATATATATATATATATATATATATATATATATATATAGGGCAATTGGCCCTTAGTGTTGTGTAGGAATCTTATAAA